ATTTCAACAGTACTTTCATTAGGCAATGTAAGGTCTGTATATGATACTCTCTGCTGTAAAAATAAATTGCTTTGGTCTGTACCTAAAGTATCTTCACTGTAAACGACCTTCAGAGCTTTTTCAGAGGCAAAGATTTGCGCAGGGTCAACTTCAGTGTTCAGGAATGTTCAGGGATGTCCAAATCTCTTGTTAATAGGAGTGTTCAGTTTTTTAGAGACTTTGTTTAAGCCCTTGGAGAGCTGCATGTGTGCTTTATTTCTTCAGTGTGGAGTGAAGCAAAAAAACAAACCCATTATAGAAGTTTCTGGAGAACATTAAGTTTTCCACCTCTTCGGGTTCCTTACTCATACAATTTTTCCAGAGGAGAAGGCAAGACAAACCCCAAAATACGTTGTTGAAAATCTTGCAGATTTGGGATGCATTTGTGCCAACATTGTCTTGCTATATATTTCTCATAAACCAACTATTCTAGATTCCTAAAATACTTATGTGTTATGTGGAGATATATGTATATATCTCACTTCACAGCTTAGAAGGAGGAAAATTGCAATGCAGTGGTATCATATGCTGAACACTTTGGAGCTGACACGTGGCGGTAGCAAAAGCAGTGGAGCGTTCTAAAGCAGGCAGTGCTGCCTGGAAAATGAAGCAGTCCGTCTGGGCAGGAAGCCTCTGTGACCACATAGTTCAGATTGATAGCCAGCGTGTCTTCCCATGCTTGGGAGAAAGCGAGTAGTTTGATACACAGACCACAGATTTAGAAACACCTGTTTCTGAACTCTCTGGCCTTTATTAGGAATGTAGCTGCTATATTACTGAAGTATCATTGCCTCTCTCTGCAGAATCTCTCAAACTAAATGCTTTATATTTTCCTTTTCAAAAAGAAGGTGCTGTTTTGCATGAGTCCTTACACTAACAATATAAAAAGCTGTTTATTTTTCCAGTATGTTTCAATATGTATATGATAGGAACAAAGGGAGCAAGCAATTAACCCCTTAAAGTTCAAGTCCTTGTTCTCCAGTCCAGGGACTGGAAAGCATCACTCAACTTCTCTGTGTCTCAGTCTCCCATCTGTAAAAAGGGGTTGAAATACCTACCTCACAGGGGTGTTGTGAGGCTTTCTTAAAGTTTTGTAAACGTTTGTAAAGTGCTTTGAGATCCTTGGATGAAAGGTGCAAGAAGAAATCTAAGTTTTCACTTTTTTATAGTGCAACACAAGAATGCAGTTGTGTTCAGATGGCTGAAGGTTTACAGCTCTTTGAAGCTATTCCATGTACCCTTCACTATAATTTCCCTACCTATCATATCCTGAGAGCTACAAAGAACAAATTTTGCAAACAAAAATACCCAAGTAGGCATACTGTTGCTGGGATGAGGGATAAAAAAAACTAACATTCTTTTTAGGGATGAGGGATAAAAAAACCTAACATTCTTTTTAAACTATGTTGCATATTTCTTGTCCATGCAACCACTAGCTTATTGTAATATGGCATACGAACTTTGTCGACTTTTCACTTAATTTGGCCAAATTGTTTCTTTCTGAGAAAAATAAATAATAAGTAACAGATAATAAGTAACTTCCCCCCAGTAAAAAAACTGCAATTTGGGTCAAAAATTACAAAATTAGGAAGAGGTAGAATAGGTTTTAGTCTTATATGCTTATATGTCATTTAAGAAAGAGCCATTAAACATCACAGTGTAAAGGTGGGTAAACCATTAAATCTTAGGTAACACAGAAATATAAAATGAAATCAACATTAGATTTTACAGAGCTGAATCAAAGAAAAGGCATATAGGTTCATACAAAGCTGCGAGGATAACAAAATTTCCAGAGCTATCTTCAACAAATACAAAAACTAATTTAGTGTTTAAGCCTTTGCATTAGTAAATAAGTGACACAGGGGCTTCACAGGTCAGAGAGCTCAACACTCACCAAGCAGTGATACTGAGCAGGTAAAATAGTACACATAAGTATGCTGTTCCTCCAAATTAGGTAGCGATCAGAGAATATGAAAAAAAGTAGTCAGCTGTTAGAGAAATGCAAAGTAGAAGATGCAAGAAATGGCCAAAAATTGAATGAAGAGGACTGAAACTTGATTAAATATTTTGTTTGCCTGCCTCTCTCATCCAGGATTCATGTGCCACATTTTCTTCACCTCCACCACCCTTTTTTCTTCTTCTTTTTAGGGTTGAATGGGCAGGACAGCTGAAAGGATATAACCAAACAAACAGAATAAAAAATGTTTTAGTTACAGCTTTCACCCTGCTTCACCTATTCAAAAGGAATTTACATGTCTTCACTCATACAGTACGTGATTCATATTTTGACTTTTCACTGTTGTGGAGGCAAAGCATAACAAATTCCTCCTATTGGCAATCACATACATGACTCTCATTCATGCAAAAACAAGCACAAAACTCATTATTTAGAAAAAAAAATGTTCACATTCCCAAAGTTTGCCTAGACTATTCACTGCATACCTGAACAGTTCTCTGGGTGACTGTAATAGATTTCTGCCTATCCTACACTTCAGTATCCTGCTAAATTCAGATTTGTACTGACTTTATCAGTGTTTCTATATATCTTATCCTAAACTTGAAGGAACTGGCTATTTTGGAGATGTAGCTTGCTGCTTCTTTAACTACCTTCATATTCATTCCTTCTTTCCATTTGACTGCCCAACAGATACAGTTACAAGAAGTGCCTCATAAAAGCAGCTGTTCCCAATGAGCAATATCTTATTGGCAACATTTTTAGACTTAATATTTGAATTAATATGGGATTTGTTAGTGTATTAAAACATTAAAATATAATTATCCAGTAATTCTCAACTACTTGTATACAGTCATTCAAGATGGATTTTTTTTTTTTCAAATAGGAAGCTTAAGAAACATTCCTTACTTTTCCACTAAATATACTAAAGTTTTGAGGGACTGAAATCTCAAGACGATTATCTTGAGAATAGCAGGCAACTAAAATAAAAACACTTTTGATGATAAATAGGTAACTCACCATTGACTTTGAATACCTTGTCACTTAAAAATAATGCACATCCTTCCCTGTTAATTATTTTCCCAGTATATTAAAGCAGATAATATTTCATTTTTAGAATATTTTCTTTCCTAGACATAGCCTGGTCACTTATCATCAGGTTTGTTGCTTAACTACAGCCTACTATCATCCCAGGATCCCTAACCACTGTGTAGGAGGAACACTATCTTTTGGCTGAAATATCAGTTATTGTGCTTTTGAGCTTTGTATTTAAAACTCTGATATATTATCTTGTCCACTGACATAAATAAATATATATATATATATATATATATATTTACCACAAATGCTTTCCTGTCATCAAAATGTTAGTGTAGGAGCCACCTACTACCTGAAATGTCCCTCTTTACTTCCTTTAACCCAAAGCATCAAAGTCACAGCTTAGAAAATGCTATGTATTTAGGAGTACTGGCGTTGCAGATACATCAGAACTGAAAAGATGACATCTCAAGTTGATGGGCTAGCTCTTGAGCAGGTGTTAATTGTCCTAGCTCTACCAATTGCTTTCAATTCACACACCTGAAAAACTGGCCAAGCATGTCAATCTAGTGACAGCTCTAGGATTTTTTTTTTTCAATTGTGGTGGAACACCTTCAAATACTGTTTGAGCAGCTGATTAACAAAATATATTTTATGAGATGTTCATTAGTAAATAATGATGAATGTATATTTATTTTAAGAATGGGCCTAAGAAAGATATAACTCCTGAATTAATGTAAGATACCAGAAGATGCTCTGTGGATGATATTCATCTGACTAAATAGGGATATCTTTAAGGTAGGCATCTACTCTGAGCCAGTTTTCCTGGAGAAACAGACACTTCTAGTGAGTAATAATTTAATCCTGAAGAAGGTATCTTAACCAGGGTAGGTGAATTGTACCCTTGAAGCCTCTGGTTCTCTCACTGAGCAGAATGGGAACACTGAATACTCAGATATAGATGCCTGCTGTGCTCATGTCTAAAATTTGGTGAGATGAATCTAGCCCCAGGGCCTCACATTGGCTCCATTTTATTAAGTTGTGCCTCTGTTATTCAACAGTTGCTAAAGCAAAACTAAGAGAAATGTGGTAACTCAGTACCACTGTGTTACACTATACAGGATAATAGTTGAGTTCTATGGTGTATATATAACGTGATGAATTGGACAAGTATATTTACTTACAACTATATTGTGCATACAATTGCTTCTACCTTCATTTAACAAGTATTTGAAAATTCTTATTTCTACATAGTTTGCATAGTTAAACTGATAGTTTTTGATTTTTACCAATGGTTCCACTAACTGAAATGCCATTTTGATCTTTGCCTATAGTTATTGTTTATCTAGAGTTATTGGTGTATGAAGTGTTTAAAAAGTAATAATTTCGTGTTTGGTGTGTGTGCTTTCTCTTTTGATAAATATAAACTCATCAATAAGATGTTCAATAAGAGAACAAATCCAGTACTACTTACTCCTTTACTATCTGCCCTATTTGGAAACAAAGGAGTGAGATAAGTTTGAAACGTAGGCAATTATGTCATATTAGTAATACGATATATATATTATAATCCATAGAACCCATAGATAAAGAAGTGAAAAGAGGATGCTAAACACTTAATGTTTTAAATATTATGCTTAAAAAGTATAATATTTTAGTAATAGCAGTGATTAGCATTGTGATTGTCTTTTTCCTATAGGTACTATGAAATAAATTCACGTGAATAGCACGTAAACAAAAATAATATCATGGACTACAGAGAAATTCATTTAATAAGAGCAGTTTAAGCTTAACTGCACATGGGCCTTAGTGTTATAGAATTGCTGTATGATTAACGATATTTGACATGCAATTTGTTTTCTGTCCATGCAATTGCAACAATAGTTCCAACTGTAGCCACTTTTTTTTTCTTTTCTTTTCCTTTTTGTTTCTTTCTTTGTTTCTTTCTTTGTTTCTGTTTTTTATGCAGAAGACCATCAAATGAATTGTCACAATACTCGAATAATGCAAGACACAGAAAAAGACGATAACAATAATGATGAGTATGATAATTACGATGAACTGGTGGCCAAGTCATTGTTGAATCTTGGCAAAATTGCAGAGGATGCAGCATACAGAGCCAGGACAGAATCAGAAATGAACAGCAATACATCTAATAGTCTGGAAGATGATAGTGACAAAAATGAAAACATTGGTCGGAAAAGTGAGCTGAGTTTAGATTTAGATAGTGATGTTGTTAGGGAAACAGTGGACTCCCTTAAATTACTAGCACAAGGACATGGTGTAGTGCTTTCAGAAAACATTAATGACAGAAATTATGCAGACAATACTTCACAGCAAGATAATAGGAATATGAACTTTGTAATGCTAGGGAAGCCTGTGAACAATGGACTTACAGAAAAAATGGTGGAGGAGAGTGATGAAGAGGTGTGTCTCAGCAGTTTGGAGTGCTTAAGGAACCAGTGTTTTGATCTGGCTAGGAAACTCAGTGAGACAAACTCACAGGAAAGAAATCAACAGCAAAACATGAACACGCGTCAGCATGTCAGGCAAGAAGATGACTTCCAAGGAAGAACACCAGACCGGAATTACTCTGATATGATGAACCTAATGAGGCTTGAAGAACAGTTGAGCCCCAGATCTAGAACTTTTTCTAGCTGTGCAAAGGAGGATGGTTGTCACGAAAGAGACGATGATACCACCTCTATTACTTCAGATAGGTCTGAAGAAGTGTTTGATATGACAAAAGGTAACTTAACCCTACTTGAGAAAGCAATTGCTTTGGAAACTGAGAGAGCAAAAGCCATGAGAGAAAAAATGGCAGTGGAAGCTGGAAGGAGGGATAATATGAGATCATTTGAGGAACAGTCTCCAAGACAACTTTCTGGAGATGACAGGAAGCCTAAACCCAGTGACGGCCATGTCAAAAAGCCATATTATGGTAAAGGTAATATTTCTATATACCGTATGTTATGTCATGCAAAAGTGTGAGCTAACATGTCAAGTTTTGCATAGAATTCTGAAGAGATTGATTCCATGAAATGGGAACTTTACTTAAATTGTAGTAGTATGGCATGATTGTAAAATAGCATCATGCTGTAGTTATAAAATGATTCCTTCTACAGTGTTAGAAATATGTACAGTGTTTCAGTGAATATCATTTGGCTAAATTAAAAATAACTTTTCAGGGAAACAAAACCAGAGATCATGTTGAAAGAGGCAAAGATTTTTCTCAAGTTTTAAATACTTTATAGTAATTTTAATTAAAAAACAATGGAAAGTTATGTTGCAAACAATATCAGATAGAGGGGTTTTATGTAGCAGTTAGTCAATCAGCTATGAAGTGCATATTTTACAGATTAGATTGGGTAGGTGGCATCATGATTTATAAAATTATCATCAAATGACAGTTATTGATGAAGCCTCTCCCATCTAAAATGTAGAATTGCCTGATAGAAATTGAACAGTATCAGAATGACCGATAACAAAAGATAGGGGCAGTGACTGCACATTAATTATCTTAGGATAGTAAGGTAATGGAAACCATTTGCTATGCAAGGCATGGTGTGGCCTGGGCTGAGATCAATAGCAATTTCTTTCTTATGTGCATTCCACTTCACTGGTTTCATTCCATTGTGGAAACAGTTAAGGTGCTGCCTTGACCATAATTCAATATAACCCGCCCCCCCCTCACCCTGCAAAATGATCAGACTAAAGGTTACCTTTAGAAAGTGTTTTAATTTATGGGATTATCCTGGTGCGGGTGTGTTGATATTGCCACACCCCTCTTCAACGTGTCTGCATCTACACACGTAGGGCGTGTTGTATGGAGAGTTCAATACCTCCTGACATTCCTTGAACACCCTTAATTCCCATTGACTTTAGTGGAAGCTGAGGAGATCGTATTTCTTGGGAGATGCTAAGCAGGGCCTGGATTCCTCTTGTCTTTATTATAACAATATTTGGTTTTATTTCAATGGTGGGTGTTTTTCTCCTTTTTTTTAATATATAAATCCCTGTTTTGACAAAGTGATACCCTAACATCTGCCTGTGATGTTCAGGCAGGCAAACAGCATGGTCATGGTTAAAGAAAGGTTTTGATCTTTTTTTTTTTTTTTTTTTTTTTTACAAGGCTTAAAGAAAAGTAAGGGCCACTCTGTTAGACAAGCATGGAGATTGCTGATGTCAGACAGTCTTCTACAGTGTGTCTAGAGAAGTTTTGTTTCTTTTAAACACAGATATTTGGTCCGGTGAATGCTATAGTAACTTGGCGTATTTGGGGAAGACAATTTTAGTTAGTATATCGCTGCATAGCCATGTGGATGTTGTGCTAAATGTTGTTTGCATATGAAATATAGTAGATATATTTTCCCTTTGAATACGTATCTCTAACAAAAACACAAGGGCAAAACAATATTATTTTTTTAAGAGCTTAGTAACTCTGGTGCTGTCCAGCCGTTCTAGTCTATGTATGCTTAGGAAAACATGCACATAGGTCTACTGTCTCCAAAAACCTAAGACAACTTCTGACAATAACAAAAATATGGATTTTCTATTTCAGTAAATTTTAGAACTTCTTTGAACCATCCCACCTCTTAAGAGCTGCAGGCTGAATTGATGATAGCTCCAAACCCCAGACAGGGATCCAAAGGACAGCCCTAAATATTGTAGTTTCTACAAAGAAACTTTATGGAGTGGATCTTTCTGTGCCTTTTTTTTTTTTTTTTAGTAAGGAAGGAAAGAAAAACTGATTCCTTCCTTACTTTAAAAAAATATCCAGGAAACACTACTGCAGCCATTGAGAGAGGAAGCTTTCAGTGAGGAAGTTGATTGTATCATTTATTTTTAATTCCTATAAATTTTTACAAATATTCAGAAAAGAAAAAGATATTCACAGCATTTTATGATATGGTTAAGTAGAAGCATTTGGGGTGTGTAGGTATTCAGTAGGACTACCTCCTGTCTTCTGTCTTCTGGAGTTCTGCTCTCAGAGATTGCTGAAATGACTAACAAGGGACTACAAAGCATTTTTTTTCCGATGCCATTTAAAGCATTCTAAACGGGCTTACTTCTGAAATTTAGGCATTTTAAAGCTTTTTAAGTCATCTGATAACATTCACGCAGGCAATATTCTCATTGTGGCAAGGAGTGAGGAAAAATTGCATAATTAAATAAAACTGCAATACTTTTCCCCATTAGCAGGAAAGGTTTTTTTTTTTTTTTTTTTTTTTTTTTTACAAATGAGTATCCAGTGTTTCCTGTAAAGCTGGAAGGTTTTAGTTGGGTGTCTTCCATTAAAAGCAATGGGAAACTGTGCAAGTATAATTTTGGGCAAGTTTTGAAAACATTGAGATTAGCGTACAGCATCTTTTCTGACTCATGAGACCATAAAGGCTCTTAAGGAGCTGATACATGCTATAATTTTATAGCATAGAATTTTAAAATTTTATATTATATAATTTTATAGCATATTCAGATACAGAGGGGGATTTGCTTGCCACTGTAGGACATAAGTGTCCGGATCCTCAGCTGCTCTAAATTAGAATACCTCCATTGACCTCACTGAAGTTATAACAAAAAAACAGCAGCTAAAGTTTCTTTCGTTTAAAGTCTCTAAAAAGCCATTATGGTCTGTTACTCATCTACATTTTTGCAGTCTTTGAATATTATTCTATTTTCATAATCTATATTTCATTTACATTTTTTTTTCACATATCCAATACTTCTACACATCCCAAAGTACTTGACATTAAGAATTGTTTAGAGTTGTGTATGTATGTAGCTGTGGGCTTGGTGTTCTAGTGCTCTCAGCACAGGCCTCTCTGGTAGGAATTCCAATCCCTCCTCTGACATTTACTCCTTCTGTGGCCTTGGGTTTAGCTTTTTAAGCTCTTTATTTCAATTTCCTAAGATACAAGATTACAGTATTTCCAGGAGTGTTCTGATAACTGTATAGCACTTTGGAGATGGATTTGTATATGTATTTCTTGTTAAAAAGCATGAAACAAAGAAGTGTATCTTACAGTCAACATGCAGGCAAAGTAACATGAAACTTTCACATTCACAGACTCCATTTGCAAAGGTCAATTTTTAAATATGGTATTAAAAATTAAGAAAGGAAATAAGACATGGAGAGCTAAAGAATTTCTCTAAAATCAAGGTTTTTAGGAAGGACTTGGAATGTAAGGGTGTATAAGAACTATCAGAGAGAAATCATGAAAAATAAGTCTACAGCTAAATGTGACCTATGGCTGATATTTCTACATGCTTAAAAATGAGTTGTATGTGAAGTTCTGCAAATACTGAAATTTCTGCTGATTGTACTGAGTGTTGCATTTGTTGATGTTGGGGTGGAATTTCATGTAAAACATAAAGGAAAAAAATAGAAAAATCTTATTTTCCAAAGAAGAAAGCATAAATCCTGAAGCAAAGCAGCAATGCAATGACAAAAACAACATAAAATACTTAAGTGAGGATAAAAAAAAAGTAAAAGAAGAAAAAAAATGAAAAGAGAAAGGGGATGTTGATTGATTTTGAGCCAAACTGGTACCAATTAGAATATTCTGAATTTTATTCTTTTAATACCACTGTAAAAATTGCTGATAGTTTCCCATATCTGACAACTGTGATTAACAAGATGTGATTTAACTTGTATCATGTGCCGGGATGGAAGTCTAGGGATGTTATTTTACAAATGTTCTGTTACAGGAAACAAGCTATTATATGAGAAAGTTCTAGTTCAGGATTAATTTCACCAGCAGAATTTCTTGGTAGAAAACTTCAGTTTGTTGGAAAAAAATAATGTCTATATAGTCTTTTTGTTGATTTGTACATAGATTTAATATTTTAGAAGATTATTAATTACATAAGCATGTGAATATTCAAGTATTGTATATGTATGTCTGTAATGGCCCGAAGTTTACACAGCAAGTGATACTTTCAGTAATTCTGATTACAATGTTTATCCCACCTTAATTTTTGGAGAGAAAAGAGCATATATTATTTCTACTACTTCATAAGGAATCTAAGGAAAACAGAGTCATCTGCTCAGAGAGCCTTGGAAAAGAGATTTATTCATGCTGACTTGTTAAATCATTATGCTAAAGAGCTGGTTTTGCTACTCTTAGGACATTGAACTTCTGTGACAGCACATTTGCAGACTTTAATACATCAGGCAAATAAGAATGAAAAGAAGGGAAACTCCAGCTAAACATTTTCCAAATGACCTTACACACTTGAGCTGATGCTTGCCAGCAGAAAATTGATTGACAGTGGTTTGGCTTTGCTATAAAAAGGTCATTTTCCAATCACTGTGAATGGCTATTACTGTGATCATAGGAGCCTGCAGTCCGAAAAGAAGATAATAGGATAAAAATGAAAAAAAATGTGTTAAGAAGTAGAAGGTTTTTTTTCTTCTAGTTTTCATAAGAACATTTACCAAAAGTAATTGACATCATTAAATGAACCTTCTTACAGAAATGTGGAAAGCATCATTCACTTGACACATTTGTTGTAAATTATAGATCCCTCAAGAACAGAAAAGAAAGAGAGCAAATGTCCTACCCCTGGGTGTGATGGAACGGGCCATGTAACGGGGCTTTACCCCCATCACCGCAGTTTGTCAGGATGCCCACACAAAGATAGGGTCCCTCCAGAAAGTAAGTCCACATTGTTTCATGGAAACCGGGGATAAAACTACAAAGATTTTTTCTAGCATGCTTTTTAATCCTTTTATTTTAAAAAATTAATTTCATTTTTCCATGCGGTATGTCTCAAATTAGTCAACTGTTCTGTGTTATAGTTTTTCCTTTATTCCATCATTTCCATTCTCTACTAACTTCTACACTAAAAAGAACAACTTTTAAAGCTGTATTCTTTGATTTTTAAGGATACTAGATTATTTTTAAGGAGTATTCGGTCAACAAAGAAAAAGATTTCCAGAAAATGTGCACTGCTTTTACTTCTGCATGCTGGTGTCACATCAGCTGTCCCTCTTGTCTTATACAAGAATAATTGTGCTTGAAAATTTTGAAAAACTTGAAAACCCCTTTTCTGGTGGGTTGGTTTTTTGTTTTTGGTTTTTTTTTTTTGGTCTTGAAGATAACTTATACTAACCTAATTTCTATTATTAAAAATTACAATTTGGCTGTTTACTTAGCTGAGCAACATTTTAAGCAATATTCCCCCAAATTCCCCACATGGGTAGAATTTCCTATGGTGTCAGTGGATTCCCTGCAAGAGAAATTCACCTGAAAGCATAAGGCTCCATTTCTGGAAGTCCCTTCCTTGGCAGGTAGAAATTGGCATGGTCCTTCGGAAGCTAATTGCTCTGTGCTGATTTATACCAGGTAAGCATCTAGCTAAGATCCAATTCTCCTTCACACTTTTAAAAATGGAATTATTCCACTGAAGCTTGGGCCTAAATCTACCCTGTCCTTCACTGACCTAACTTCAATGGATTTACAGCAGCGTGAAGGAAAAGTTAAAGACAGTCAAGGCTGAAATGATCCTCAGTTTCCAAAGGGAAGGTAGATTCTGAAGCATAAGAAAGCAGAAGTCAATTAACACACCAAGAGTGGCAGATTTAAAAAGCATCACAGTAGAGTGGCTTCTTCCAGAAGTAAACTAACGAGGAAGTGTTTTGCTATATCTTGGTCTATCTCTGAATTCAGGAGAACACATAGATTCACTTCTCTGCTTTGCAAGACCCAGTAATTTTCCAAAGCACAAATATTTATTCAGTTGCTCAAAGCTCTCTCATTTTTATAAATGGCAAATAAGAAGCTCTTTTGAAGACTTTGTAAATCAAAGAAGAATATAGCTTTAAACTGTTTGCATGCTCTTATACCTACTAAAATGAAAAAGGTGAGCTCATCTTTTTATTTTTTCCTGTGATGTTGGCCTTGTGAAGCATGTTTCAAGAACAGCTTTGAATAGTAGGAATTTCAGAGTAAAGCTTTTGCATCTATACACGTTTTAGTACACTGATGATGAGGTGATGATGATGGTTATCTTCTAATCAGTATCTGTGGTTAAATTCTCAAGTTTTTGCACAGCTTTTATTCAGTTCTTTACTCAATCAAGGAATTCACTGATTTTATTACAGTTTTATTGAGTGAGAACTAAATACAGGCTTCCAGACTAGTTCTTGTATGAGAAAACCAGAACTTTGCAAGGGCTGGATGGCCTCTTCCTGTAAGTGATGCACTACCATCCAGCTCTGAGATATGGATTCAGATATGACTCATGTCATACAAAAGAAATTACTTCAGTCTAATTTCTGTTTAGTGATACCAAAATGCTCTCAATAATTTGGCCTCCAATAGCATGGGCTTTATCATTCAGAAAAGAACTGCTTTGAGGGGCTTTGGGAGGACATTTTCCATGCAGCTTGCAATGGATGCTGATGCAAATCAGTTTACTTGCTTAAGCTTGTAGCATTGCTTTCTTTCTTACATAGTTTTTTTTTTTTTTTTCCCGACCATCCCTCAATTTTTAAGTGATTATTTTCAGTTTTTACTCTTTAAAAAAAATCACATTTTTCACTTTTGTAGAGAATACAGATAAGAAAAGAACCAATTTTGCTCATCGTATAGATATGAATGATATATCTATACAGATGTGGGCAGAACTGGACCCTAGCTCAACTGAGCTGGCTTATAGTTAGTGTTAAATTCTGATAAGGTTTATGCTGAGGTGTATTTCAAATAATTCAGTGTTCTACCAGTATAACTTGGGAGTGCATTTTTATCTTTCAAGTTTGATACTGTGTATATAACACTATATATTATGAATGCATACCTTTTCTGAAGAATTTTTCTAGTCCATACTTTTATACTGGACTCACAATTTACTATTGAGCTGATGGCCCAGAGTTTTTGTGCAAAGATGATGTTGGAAGTCTTCTGCCTCACTGTTACACCAGAGACACATTTGCTTTAGGTTTTGTAACCTTCATAACTTTAGTGCTTGTTACCCTGTGCTAATGATCAGAGGGTTGCAATACTTCCTTCCCTCATCAGGCTTTTTTGGCTATCTGTGTCACGTGTATTTTGAGGAATGATGGTTGTTAATGAATCGTGCTTTGTTTTAAAATGGTTTCATATATACTGGGACTTGATTTTTTTTTTCTTGTTTTCATACTCTGCTGTTTTCTCTTACTCTCCTTGTCAAGTTCTTGCCATGCATGAAAATGTTCTTAAGTGTCCTACACCAGGCTGCACAGGCCGGGGCCACGTAAATAGCAACAGGAATTCCCACCGAAGGTAAGGATGCCATCGCTGGACTCCAGGCTAGAGGGAACAGTGCGTCCGAACTGCAGCCCTTCTAGCAGTGCTTTGGTAGGGGGGAGTGTGAGTGTGTGTTTGGTTGGTTTGTTTTTGTGATTGGCAGATGGTGCTTCGTGTGCTGTGTTCACTTTAAAGAGAAACATGTCTTCGTGTACTTCATGAGGAGGACAAATGCCCATTTGCTTTGCTGTGGATGAACTGATCCACAGAAGGCATTCTGACCATCCTTGTAGCTTTTGGGGTGGACTTTTCCCTTTGTTTTGGTATTAGTGAAACTCCTTACGGGTATGTCACAAGAAACAGGAAGAGTCTGCCAACGTCATCAAGACCAGGGAGGGTCCTTGTTCTGACACTTCACCCTCTTCAGAGATTATTTCACCGTGCATGAAAAATTCCACTCTATTCATAGAAGTGATTTTATAGAGATAAGAAACAGCATTTTAAGTACACAGATATTGTAGGAGTTAACTTTGCTGCTGCCCAAAGCCTCAACCCAAAAGTGCTTACTCAGATAAAATGAAAAGAAATTATAAAAATATCTTATTAAATTAAAAAGTGAGACATCAGAAATGTCCCATGTTCTAGACATACAAGAGAAATTTAAGAAGAGCTGCAGCTTTTTGATAGGTTCCTAGGTGAATTCTATAGATGTTTACAGAAGGGATGTCATTTTCTGTTAGATTCAGTCAAGTAAGAGAATGATTTTAATATTAAGTTTTGCTCTGTTATGATTTTCCCACAGAAGAACAGTGTCTTGTCTTCTGCTTTAAAAAATTCTAGGAAATCTGGGTAAAGGACAAAGGTAACTGCAAGATTCGTATAATCAAGCTCCTTTTTTACTGTTAATTGTAGCGTGAAGGCTTAAGAGACCATGCAGGTACTGGATGTGCAGTCTTACCAAGCTCTGGGTTACTACATGTTAACTGCATGTCTCCCAGCACACTCTTGAGGGCATCAATCCCTTTAAAATAGGCCCTGGCCTCCCTCTCTTCTCTGCACTGATGCTGCCAGTAGATGCAGCAAAAATCTCCGAGGCGGCTCTATAGGAAATACTGCAGGACTAGGGCAGGGGGGTGTCACTGGATACCCAGGGAGGGACGTCTGCAGTCAGTGCTTACCTCTTTCTGCAGCTTTTGGGGCATTTTGCTCTGCTTCACCTTTTTTTTTTTTTTTTCCCGATAGAGAGGGTAACATCTGGGAATGCACTTTCACTTTAATTTCCTTTCCGGTGGAGAGCACAGAGAGCTGCGGTCACATAAGCACGCAATAGGCTATGACAGGGAAAGACCTCCCTGCATTGTCAGGTCACAGGTTTTTAGAGCTTCACTAAGAGCACCATCTGCTGGCATTATTATATTTATTTTCCACTGTTCTAAATCTTTTCCAGAAGAATCAGACTTATTATTGTCACTTCAGTAATAGTTAAGCATTTGCAAATTTAACTGAATTACTATTCAAGTTCAGCAGTTCTTTCGCCATCTACTCAGAACATACTTTGGTGGTTGAAATTCATGAACACTGAGTATAACATATTTGAGATGTAGATTTAGAGACCCAAGGCCAAATTTTGCACTCATTTGTAATGCCTTGAGAAAGGGGAATTAATAAGTGTAGCTGAGTGAAGTATAAAACAGCGCAAGATTTGGCCTATATAGTGTTGTCATTGAATCATCTTCAGCAGCCATTTCAGTGGCAACATTTGTGGATGTGTAGAAGGTCTCATGTCTGCTAACAGAGCTGCACAGTAGATTCCAGTTTATATTCTCCTGTTCCACCGATATCTTCACTGGCTGACATCCGTGAATAATCTATGCATGTACGGTCAGAGATCTACTATGCAACTTTGAAAGTAGAAGAAAGGAATTCGATTCTAGAGAAAATATACATGACCAAGAAGTTTTGGAAACTCTTCCTTCAGATTCTTCCTGATGCTGGCTAAGGAGGAGAAGGAGTAATTGGATCAGTGCTATAATGTGAAACTGCACAGGACAAGACAATTAAATTTCCTTTCTGTAATTGCAGCCTCTCTGGATGTCCTATTGCTGCAGCAGAGAAACTGGCTAAAGCTCAAGAGAAGCATCAGAACTGTGATGTGTCAAAATCAAACCAGGCATCAGATCGGGTTTTAAGGTATTAGAAATCACTATAATACTTATTATTATGCAGAATTCGTCACACATTCACCTAATCTGAGAATTTATATTTATATACATTGTATATACATATATATCTCCTTTAAAGAACAGTTAGAATTAGGGCTTCTGGATCCAATTCTCTCAGTGTTTATTTCCCACTCAATTTACATGGGGGAGGGTTGGTAATTATTTTGGCAAATACATGTAAAGCTGAAAAGCTCATTTTTGTCTTAGGCATTGTTTGGTGTAAAGATGACTGCTGGAGTGCAAAGTCTAAGAACAATGTGAAAAAAGTTGGTATCTTTTGGGAATAAACTAATATTTACCGGTAAGTCTTGGTTTTTTCAGCAGGCTTTTACTAGTAAATATCAGTTTAAATTAAACCAGAAGCCCTATTTGCATTACAAAACTGGCAGTACACTTTTGGCAGGTCACTTCAAAAAATACCGGATATACCTTAGGTTCCAAAATAAGGTCAGGATTAGTTGTTTGTTTCTGTTCCCCCACTCACTCCCAGGCAGGATTGAAAGAGAAAATGTGCCCTCTTTTTTTTTTTTTTTTTTTCCATATGGAAGGACCTGGAACCAGTTTGGCATAAGTATCCCCATTCTCTCCATCCATCAAAGATTCTGTATTTACCCAAAGCTGAATCCATTTTTGCACTATTGTCTCCATTTTTGAGACATGCAGGTGGAAAAAATATTATTTCTAGGGAGCTGAAGAGTAAAGGATATCTGTAAAGGACTTCTGCATAAACGTACCAGCCCTATGCTGATAATGCCCCAAGAGCTGCAGAATTTCTCCATGGATGCTGTGGTATCTGTGGGCTAGGATGGGTACATCCCTCCCTGCTGCCTCAGAATTTGGCAGAACTGCCACAGCTTAAGTTTCCAGAATTTCCAACTTATCCCATAGACCTCTTGGTATTTGATTATCCTCTAGATTTCAAATCTGATAGGGTGATTGAAAATGAAAGTTTTCTACTATATTACCAGCATCACTCTTTTGAATATTCTCTTAAAACTTCATCTAATCTTGATGGTCTTTTCAAAAACAGTTGCTCATACAGCTAAGAAAACGGAATTATGTTTCACATCTGCAAGAGATTTTTTCTGGTCTTTGTTGACTTTTTCTTTCCTAGATTGTTTTTGATAGGTTTCATCTTAACTGCCCATAATTCAAATTGCTCTGTCTTTCATAGAACATCCCAGAGAGTTTTCTTAGAGATGGATGCCTTAAAATTGATTAACAAAAAACACCCATTAAGGGAATTACATAGTTTCTCAGTGATGGAAAAAGGCAAATCGAAAATGTAGTGGCTTTTGCGTATGCTCCCTAGAAAGATATCAGTGAAGTCAGATGCCACACAGAGAAGGCGACTGCTCTAAATCAGTGTCTGATTTGCAGGCAAACTCCCTAAATAGTTGTACTGGAACTTCTGTCAATGAGTTTGCCCTGTGTTTCAGACTTGATGGGCAACCCAAATACTGCTGTCATACTAGACTCTGCTTCCCTTCTACTTTTAAGTCATGAAAATATTTAAGATGAGGAACTTCACAGGTTTTTAATAAAATTTACATGCAGACAACTGATTTGGTGACATAGGTGTTCAAAGGGTAATCTTGAATATTTGTCTTCATCCCAGTTTCCATCCTACCTGCATTTAAAATTTCTTACTTAAAAAGATGTCAAATTCATAGTACTTCTTTTCCATAGAAAATATGAATTTCTATTGAATGCACAGGATATGAATTTCTTTTTTTTTAAACTAAATATAAATTATCTTGAGATCAGATCAAAATATTATTCTTATCAGCTCATTGTATAAATTAGCCCACTATATTTTGTGAGGAAGAAGTCTCTAAAGGAACCAGCATACATAAATCAAACAGAATAGTATGACTAATGCAATTTCTTAGGTAATCTTTACATAAATATCCCTCCTAAACTCTATGAAAATGAATTAATTCAAAAATACATAATATTCAAAACTTTTTCTTACTATTTATCACATTACATTTTGTCAGTCAGTATGATGATTCTTCAGTCTTGACTGAATTTATGTTCCTATGAATGTTCCTTCCATTTTCTCCACTTATAAATACAGTAGGAAAAAAAGAAAAAAGAAAGAGAGAAAGAAAAGGACTTGATTCTATAATTTTTGATTCCAGTAGAAGCACCTCAGGTGTGCTATTCATCATCTTTACCTGCTACAGAATGCAGTAGGTGGACATGCATTTGTTCCTATGCATTTGTTCCTATGACCCATTCATATAGCACTTTCTTATAGAGTCAAGGTTTGCAGGATCTGACCTTCATTTATTTTCCTCGTGTATAGAGAGTTGATGACTTCTGTTTCCACATGCAGAAGAGAGTAGGACAGTGGAGGAATTCACTGCAGCTTTCTTTCTCTAAAACTTTGCAAGTTTCTTTAATGGATTGAATGAGATTAATCAAGGCTTTTCCTCACTATCATCACGATCCTAACGGGAAATTTAGCTGATACAGTTTTATTCCATATTTATTTACAAGCCCTTCCTTGTTGTGTGCAGCTGTATCAATAATCGCAGCTCCTGCCAGCACCTTGCATTTAAGGGTCAGCAGGACCTGCTTCGAAGCAGATCAAAGTCAACAGAGATTGTATGAAAGTCTCCTGTGTATTTCTCAAGATGTGCATGGATTTGTATATTAAAAGATAAAACGGATCTACTTTCTCTAGAAAGCATACAGGAAAATTGCATGCAACTCTGTTGAAACAAATTTAGAAGAAATGCCTTTATTTAAGTGGAGGTTTCAGTGCCTTTACCTTTTTTGACATTTAAAGGAACTTGTCCAACCTCTTCATGTCAGTCGGATTGCCCCCCTCTAATTCACCTCCCAGAAGAGAAAATGTTTGCTGTGTGATGCAATTATGTAGGGGAAGGCAAGTCCTGAAGTATTTTAAAACAGAATTTTAAAATACTTTTAGCTACAGGGCACATTTAGCAATATTAGAATTTTTTTTTCTAGGCTTTGTTCAATAAAATATATATTGTTTGTCTGCTGAAAATAACCAAACCGAGCAAATGCAATAATATATTGCTGTCTCTTGAGTACAAGAAATAACTAAGATTTTCTAATCTGAGCTATAAATTATGCACAGACACAGTAAACTGAACTGCATCTAACAAACTTTACATATCTTTAATTTCTAGGCCCATGTGCTTTGTTAAGCAATTGGAGATCCCTCAGTATGGCTACAGAAACAATGTCCCCACCACCACACCCCGCTCCAACTTGGCCAAGGAACTAGAGAAATACTCTAAGACTACGTTTGAATATAACAGTTATGACAACCATGCCTATGGCAAGAGAGCCATAGCTCCCAAGGTGCAATCCAGGGATATATCCCCCAAAGGATATGATGGTAGGAGGTGCACACTCTTATACATGAGAGACAAGTTTGCAGTTAATCATGTTGTTGTATATGTAAACATCATACAAATAAGACATGTTTTCATGTTCATATAGTATTATGAAGAATGCTGTCATGTGTAAGTTATTTTTAAAGGCCTTCTTTAAAAGCATTATTTTATATGGTTGCTTGCTTCAGGATTATTGCGCTGCAAAAGAACATCTCCAGCTATTAAGCTCCTGGGATATATTGAAACGACAATAAAAGCCAAATAACAGAGCTAGTCCTTGAGGTGCAAGAGCAGTGTATTATGTTGCTATCTGGGAGACCTGTCCTCATGGGTCACATTAGGTTTCTGGCTTCTGTACAGTAGTTCAGGTAACTCATAAAAATTACAGACTGGCTCTGTGGGGATACCGATGTAGAAAAGTGGATCTCATTGCACTTCAGATATCACAGCTACTTATTAATGAGGCATTTTTGCTCATCTTGTCCTCATGAATACACGTGTTGAATTCTCTGGAAAACCTATCATAAATGTGTTCAGGATTTGACAGAAAAAAACAACGGATCATATCTATTGGGCAAGAGGATTTCTATCAGGGAAAGAAATGCACTACAAGATTTGGATTCTACCCTTCACGAGTATCAAAACTTTATCAGAATAATACAAATTCTATGTATACATATAGACACATATATGCATATATGCAAACATGCATATGTATATGTGTATATATAAACATGACTATGTATGTATATGTGTATATATTTTTTAAATCTGTACCTTTTTTTTTTCTCTATTTTTTTCAGAATGTGAAATGGTGGGGAGAGGAGGAATGTCAGTTAAAATATTTGATACTACTTACTGACTACCCTAAAAATTTTAGATAGGTTCAGATTATTGCATAGGAGAAGAGAAATAAATATGTGCTATTTTTTTTTCTGTTGCCTGACATTCAAAAGTTGGTAAGTGGAGACAGGGAAAACTGTTTCAGCTTCTGCCTTCATATTTCTGGTATTTTGGTTTCTGATATTATCAATGGACATATTTTTCCGCCATTGCAGAAAACACAAGGATTGTAAAAGCTAGTTACTGTACACATTTTTTTTTGAGTAAAAGTGCCTTTTTTCTTAAAGTCTTCTTTCTCTCATACTCTCATACTCCTGTCTTATTTGCATTTGTCAGATCAGAGCTTGAATGTTCTTAAAGATAATGCAGTAATTGCATGTAATTTACTGTAGTTGGTAAGCTGATAAGTTTATACTCACATAAGGTGAATGGGATGTTTACTGTGGTGTATATGGTATATGCTCTGTCTGCTTTTGCAGAGGGTTAAGAGCATTTCTAAGGAGCCTGTTGATGTGTATATTTAGGGTTGAAGTTTCTGATATTTAAGCAAGTGGTATGTGTTTAGCTCTTTTAAGATCTTATCTCAACAAAGGATTGAAAATTACGCTTTTTTTTTCCAAATCACCAGAATTTGAAACCACATATAATGTTAAACAGAAATTTAAATGTGGCCTTAAATGAGGAAAAACTATGCAAATTTAGCTAACTTTCTTTATATAGTCATTTTCTTTGAACCTAACTACAAGCTTTGCTTTGAAATAATATTGGGACTAAATTTTTTTTCTGCACAGTGATATAAGCCAGAGAGAGATGTTCTGGATGCTTGTGATTTATTAAATATTATCTTCTGACCCCACAGCAAAATAGAATATTGCCTTTCCTAAAAAAGATGTAGCCACTTGTTGCTTGTATAGCAAGTATGTGTGATTCTTGTGCACCAAGAGCAGCTCATGCCCATTAGAGATGTAGCAGGTTGTTCGACAAATGAAAGCTAATTTCCTGTGGATCTGTTCCATCCCACCGGCTCTGCAGGAGGCAGCACACACTGCGCTGGTTCCAAGTGCCGTGTGCTGCTTGGCTAGACAGGCACACTGGCTGGCCAGCAAACACGACTAAACACTCCAAAGGCACTGGGCAGTCCTCTGACAGTGAGGAACCTCATTGGAGATTTTATTTGTACCCAACCAGCAATTTTCATGAAACCTTTAGGATCTCCATATCTCTGATAACTGACCTGTCATGCTTATCTTAAATTGGTGAAAAGGTTTTGAAGTTCTTGAAGAGAATCTTCAAGTTTGAAGTTCTTGAAGACAATCAGCCAAGACTGATTCAACAATTAAGGGAAATCCTGGAATCCTGGACATGCTGAAATGAGTTTTGGCACTGACTTAAAATGGGTCAAGGATTTTGCTAGCAGTTGTTGTAATATAAAGGAGACTTCAGGAGGAGTGTCTTAACACGAAAGAGTCACCATTCCTCAATGAACTGAGCAGTATTTCTAAGTAATTTCAAATTTGTTCCTAAAGTGAATTCTTAATTATTGCTAGTAAAGCCATCATGGAGGTACAGTGCATGCACTCCTCGGGCATACCAGTGAATGCACTTATGTAGATCAGATGTAGTTCTAAGAATTCATCCTACACAAAACTGAAAGGCAGCCTAGGAATTTGAAAGAAAACAGCAGTTTACTTTTTCAAACAATGTAAATTGATAACAGATTTAGAAATTATCTAAGGATAAGGAAAATAACTTGATGTTTGAATCTTTCATTAGTTGTAAGATAATACGGTATTTCTGTCATCGCAGAAAGGTACAATTGTGAGTGACGTGAACATAAATAGCTCATTTGGATATTTTTTTTCAGTAAGCTGAAATAAAAGGCAAACAGGAACAGGGATAGGACATGCTCATAGTTCTTGAGGAATCAGTTGTGTTTGTGGGCTTGTTTTTCCTTCGAGACCAGTTTCGTAGTGGGCCACATCTTGGACTCGTTTAATGCAGCAGATAGAAGAAAGCCGGACTGATCAGACAAAGGTGACAGCAGCCCTTTCAGTTGCTCAGATGATGGTGGGGAGCTCCTCTCCTCCCACTGTCACTCTGGAACCTGCTTCCCTCAGTCAAAAATCTGAGAAGATGGCAGGGGTGGTTACATTGTCAACATCTATGTGTGAGCTAGTTAGCCACCTCTTTTATAAAGGAAAAACACCCTTCTCTGATGCAATTCATCTCCTCCTAAAGAAGATATTTAAAGTTGGTCAGATGGTCATTCCCTCAAATTTCCTATTTTTCTCCTCTGACCATAGAGGAAGCCTGTAATGACTAGGTCAGATATCCAAAGTCAGGTAAGATGAATCTCTCATTGTATAAACCAGAAATTGTGTTGGAACTATAATTCAACTGTAATTTCATAACAAATCCAGTGTCTAGCCAATGATGGGGATTAGGGTGCCTGGATAGAATTTACTTCTTTTCCGGCTGTCTTAGTTTGATCCTTTAAGTTTATGGGGTCTTTGCCACTCCTCTGCTACTAATTAGCAGCCTCTAGACTGAGAAGTTCTTTGAAATGAGTGCCTAGGAAGAAATGTCTGATGGAAGACCAGGAGGCAAGATCAGGTAGCCCTTTTGGATATGGAGCTGGCCGGACGCGTGTCCAGTAGTTTCTAGGAAGGTTGCTCTCCACATTTGGTTTCAGTGCTGAATCATAAAGTGTAGATGGACCTCAGAGCTTGCAAAAACTTGGTGCCACAGAGCTGGGCAGCATAGCAGAATTCCAGTGTTTTACTTGATATTGAGACAATGCAGCCTTCCTTTTGTTATACATAGACTTGATTTAATTCATTGCAAATTGGTGATCTGTGTTGCTCCTGAAAAGCTAATGTGAAATTAGCAGTCTAGGTTATGTGATTCATTTTAAAATGTCCAGTTACGGTCAAGTTAAAATGACTATGCCATTCCTCTCTGAATAAGATTTGCTTAAATCATTGGTTTAACTAAAAGCCAGTAAATACATAGATTGTGTGTAGCACTTTTCACCTTCAAAGTGTTTTGCAAGTGAATCACAACACAACTGCATTTTAGGAGCGTCTTTCTATTTATAGGGAAAATAAATTCTAAACATACTGTAGTTTGACCAAGGCCACAGAGGAGCCCATATCAGAGCCTGCTTGAGCTTTTGACAGTTATTCCTAAGCTTGCTGTCTCTCTCACTTTCTGTAACACACATGCTCATATACATGATTTCCCATGTAGTATCTTTTGTATTTATTTGTGACCTACTATAATATGGTAACTTTTTTGCAAGAGACATAAGCCTTATTTGTTTGCCTGAATTTCGAAAGACACTGGAAGACTTTGAAAGACAAATTCAGCAGTACAGGGTTGATGTTATCAACACTTGCTGTATTAACACAGTAGAAACTGAAATATTCAGTTTCCTTCCTTAAGTGTAGGAAAATTATTGTGTGTGTAAATGCCAAATTTTTAATAACCACCACTGACTACTATATTAATAATGAAACTCTTGAGAAATAGTTCACAGGTTTATTGTAAGGTAATGCCCTGCAAGAGTAGTGCTATTACAGGTATAGAGCATCGTAGTGTGATCAATGTTTAGCATTCACTTCACTTAAAATAAGCACACCCTGTGCATTATGTGGTTTTCCTGAGAAAACTCCATCTGTTATGAATTAATAGAAACACTAGTTCATTTACAGTAAAAATAACACCATTCCTTTTTTTTTTTTTTTTAAGGAAGGAAAAGGATGGGAAAAGCTGTACAAGAGGATTTTACTTTCAGATTTTCCCTTTGAATCCTGTCTGCCTATCAAAGCAGACTCAGTTTCACAAACAGGCTATGCTCCTGGGAGCAGATTCTTATATCTGTGTCTGCTCAAACAAATGCACCCAAAGAGGATGGTGTTTAAACAGAACCCATCAAGGAAGAGCTCTAACTGGGGTGCCAACCTTTTTTGTATAGCTCTCTAATCAGCATGCTAGTTGGTTATTGTTATACGTTGCTATATGGTGTGGTCTTTACAGTATACATTCCCATCTTAAGGTGAAACAGTCACCAAAATATGAATAATCCTGAATATGTATATGCCCTGACCTCAACTTTCATGAAAAAAAGCAAAAAAACCTTTTAGATCTAGGATACCAGCTGACACTTTCTTGCTTTTTGTTCTTCCTTGCATTTTGTTTAAATGCTTTGAAAACAGTTTATTTGAGAACAGTTTTGGAGAGTTAAATGGGTTAAGAGCTAAATGGGCTATTTTTTTTATTATTATAATATTTTAGCTACAAGGAACATGTCTTAACAAACAGTAAAAATGGAGTGCGGTATTTCAATAAGGTGGACATGGGCTTTGTCAGTGCCTTCGTTCTTTTGTGACCATTACTGGTTTGTTAGTCAGAATACAGCTAAGTTCCCCCTATGTCAGTATGAGAAGAAATGAAGCCCTGTTATTTTAATGAAGAGTTGTAGGTAGGTGTTCTGGGTAGGGAATTTGAAGATGAGAAGGTTTCACTTATTAGTTTCCATTTATAAAGCCACCACTCTCACCTTGGTGAGACCCATGATAAAACCCCATGTGACCACCACCTTTCTTCTTCCATCACTTGCTCTTCTTCCTCTCCTTTCTGATGGCCAAGGTCATAGTATTTGCCCATGATTAGAAAGAAGAAATATTTTAGAAGGTCTGAAGTGCTTGAGGACACATGGCCAGTGCTGTGCCTCAGAGATCAAGACCATTATCATCGCAAAGAGCTTGATCTTTGCTAGCTCCAGGGAGACCAGGCCTCAAAATGAACAGTTTGCTCCTGTAAATTGGGTAGGGTCCCATTTTGTTATGCTACCCCTCATTAATAAAAATGAGTGACTCTAGCAGTTCCTACCTTCTCTCTGACTATATATGTGGGGTAAAAGCAGTGTTCCTCTGTGTTTTTGCTATTTTTAATTCCAGCCTGTTTGTCAGTACGATTCATGCTCACATTGCACAGATTTTTTCAGGTGGTTCTTTCATACAAATGCATGTATTTAGCATTTAAAGATCACAGGCAGAAATCAAGAAATACAGCCATCATTTTTACTGCATTTATTTTGTTGTTGTTGTATCAGTTATTGTTGCTCATTATAAATTTCACCTCCGGCAATTTGTTTTTCTCTTCACTTGTGCAGAATGCTAGTGCTTTTGAGTCATCCTTGTCATGTTTCTTCCCACAGCCAAGCGTTACTGTAAGAATTCCAGCCCAACCAGCAGCACAACAAGCAGTTATGCCCCTAGCAGCAGCAGCAATATGAGTTGTGGTGGAGGCAGCAGTGCCAGCAGTACCTGCAGCAAGAGCAGCTTTGACTATACCCATGACATGGAGGCAGCGCACATGGCTGCTACTGCTATTTTGAACCTCTCCACTCGCTGCAGAGAGATGCCTCAGAACCTCTCCACTAAGCCTCAGGATCTCTGTGCAAGGGTAAAAATGAGTAATTATGTTTGTTGATGAAGATTCCTCTTTACTGCACTGGATTTGTGCCCCTGGTAGATAGAAGAATTGTACATCTTGCTTAATTGTTTTTTTTTTTTCCTTCCCCCTCCCATTCTCCCCACCCCAAAATGAACAAAATTTAGTCGCTCTGCTAAGGAAGCAAAATAAAAAGCTAAAGACGCAAATTGCTTGCACGTAGCTTGGGTATATAGACTGATGATCCTGATAACATGTGCTCCCTCTTTTTTCTTTTGATTTGTCTCCTACTAGTGAGATCTGTGATTATAAAAGATGTTTGGGTTGCTGGTATTAATTGCATTACAGATTGTTTTTGCTAAGCACTGCCTGCTGCATACGTTTTATCAAAGGGTTAAGATTTAATGATGTAATTTCATTTGCAAGTCACATAAGGGACCTAAGGTTGTAAGATTAAGTATGAAGAAATCTCTGCTACTTGTATGTTATAATTTCTTGCCTGTCTGTGATATCACAGCGCTAAAGTCGCTGCATAATGCATTCGAAGCAAGCCATAAATCCTCCAGCGCAAGTGACTTCAAAGTTGATTAACAGCAGTGCAGCGTCACTGCTCTCTGCATGCTCACGAAATTACTTGCAGTGTATTATGAAATGGCCATAATGATAGAAAAAAAAAAAAAAGAAGATTTTGATAAGCTTTTTGTTTTAAGGGGGGGAGAAAAGCATTATTAACATTAATTAAAAACTGAAGGCTTTGCCAGATTTTTCTGGATGATAAATGCTCTATTTGGAGGCTGCTGGCTGCTAAGCGATGCCGCTAGAGGGCTGAGCAGGCAGCTGCAGCACAGAGGGAAGGTTTTTGCTGTGTTTTGGAGCTGGCAGACATGTTCTGCTCTGCACACATACACAAAGCTTTTCCTCCTGCCGTTGCAGGAGGCGCCGTGGCCATGTATAACGAACCGGAGCCGTGGCGATTAGCAAAGATCATCACTGACTCTACAGTGATTGGCAAATGTTGTTTTTAAATGCTGAGTTTTGTGGTACTTTATTTAATGCTATAGGAGACAGGATTTTTTTTCAGGCATGTGAATGAATGCAGCTGTACTCTGTAGCAATGGGATGAAAAAAGTTGGAATAAGATGCTGTGAATGTTAATAGTCAAAAGCAGAGGGGACCTCTTTCCTAATCTTTCATCCTACAGTGGTACTGAAGAAATGAATCTGAGAGAAGGAATAAGGGTTTTCACAATTAAATTAGCAAGATGGCAGCAATTAGATACATGCTATGACAAAAGGCAATAATTCAGAGAGCACGATCTGCACTCGCAATGTTCTTCTGCAGCTCTGTTGCTGTTCAGGAGGAGAGAGAGCCGCCAGACATAGGAGGAGACAGTGGAATTCGCACTCGTTTTGAAATCAAATTCCCTGTGAAATGTTTCACTTGTGAAAAGATGAGGGATATTTTGTGGCATTTTTCTTCTGTGTTCCCTGTGTTTTTAAAAATTCATCTTTTGTTTCAGACATCTTCCTTCCCCCACACCTAATGAAACAGATAACCCCTGACTCTTTCTATAAAAGAAGTCAGAGCCCATATTGACTTGCTTTGTTTTTCCAGTACCTCAGTCATTACAGAAATCATCACAAGGATTCTTTTACCTGAATTTGTTAGTTATAAAGGACAGACATATGCAGTGTTAATGAATATACTTCTGCAGTGGGTGAATTGTGGAATTTGAACATGTTTTCCTTTCCTAGGCATTGGCAAATGGTGTCCAAATGGGCTTGGTGTGGGACCCCACCTACCCATTTAACTCACTGTCACTATCTAGCCAAACATTGCCTGTTAATATTACATGAACAAAAAGGAAAGATTATTTGCTACTAGCTGTTTTCATTGCTGTAGTCACCCAGACAGGTGCCAGGATGGGAAACTAGGAGAATTATGCAGATGTTAACTCATAGATACTCACCTGGCACAGAGTAAAGCAGGAACATAAACACAACAACAGGGAAATACCTTTAGAGATTTCTCATTTTCATTCCAAATTTGGCACCTGTGTCCCGGGTGGCAAGAGGGTTAATGAAGACTCTCCGCTAGTCCCCCAAACATCAGATTAGCCTTTCAGGAAGATATGAAGAAATCTACTTTAACAGCATTAATGTTGTGTAACAGAAGCATGTTATGTGTGGGAGGGGGCTCAATGCTTACAATCTATACGGGAATGGAAAAGCGTTTTATCATTCTGCTAAGCAATGAGATTAAAAAAGACAGAGAGGTAACAGCTTGATAGATAATTAACATTATTTTTCTTATTTTGGCAGAATCCTGATATGGAAGTCGATGAAAATGGGACCTTGGACCTTAGCATGAACAAGCAGAGGCAGCGAGATGGTTGCTGTACCATTTTGACACCCCTGGAGCCAATGTCACCTCAACGGCAAGCTGTGATGAATAACCGGTGTTACCAACTGAACGAGGGGGACTGCTGGGACTTGCCAGTGGACTACACCAAAATGAAGCCCACGAGGATAGATGAAGACGATTCCAAAGAGATTAATGTATGTCTTTTTCATCTCTTAGTTCTCATTGCAGTAAAGAGGAAACAAAAAAAATAGGTGATGAAAAAATACTGGCTTTCTATAAAGAGGACTTTCTACTGGGTAGTCTTTAGAAATATATCATATTGGCACACATCTGATCTGTGACTAAGTTCCATAAAACATCATTGGAACCATGCATGTGAATTGTGTTTTCTAACAGCATCATCTTGTTAACAAGTATTTTCTTCAGTAAAGATGCTTCACTATTTCCAGATTATATTATGCTATATAAATAGGTTGACATAACTGTGCTGGGGAAATCTCTCAAGGCAAGATATTCTCCTGAATTTGAAAAGCACAAATAATGGACAGAACATTTAGAAGTGTATATTACTTATAAATCAATTAAAACAAAAAACACCATAGTGTAATATGAGTTTTTAACTATTTCAGCTAATGTGATTCTGAATGGTTTATATACTCCTGATAGTTGTGTGTGTTCAGGGCCTGCATTAATTAAATAATTTGCTTCAAGAATACAATGAAGTGAGACTAGACATTAGTGTTACTTCAAAATTCATGGTTCCAAGACAACAGCAAAACCCTTTAAACAGGAAAGGGAACTTATATTAGGGAATTTATCTTACATTTCAAATTTTAGAATGTGCGACATGAGAGCCAAAAAATTAAAAAGAGTTGTTGTCAAGTTTTAATGCCATTGCTTTTGTTTATCAGGTTTCAACTCTTATTCACTTCATGATTTGCAAAGTTGAGCCTTTTATCGATTGTTCTCTGTGTATTTTAATTTTATCATATAAATCAAGAAAAAAAATATTTGTGTTTAGGAATCGTTTTTGCCTATTTTAATTAAGACTATTTTTTGGTAATTTTGAAGCATGTAAGAAAGTGGCATTTTCACTAGATATACGGAGTACATTCTTGCTCTGGTGGCCGTTATGGCTTTGCGTTGAATTTCCCTGACGTTAAGAAATCTGTCATTAGCAGGGAAAAGCAAGGTAATGAGTCGAGTATAGCGTATTCACCGGAGCCTGTTCGGCAGTGCGAATAGGATAGCACCACCTGCAGGAATCTCTTTATCAATGCATTCGGACACTTTGCTACTGAAAGAGGTGCTGCTAAATTTCAGAATGCCTCAGTAAAATTAATTAATAATTAGAATATTATAACAGTTAAAAATTATATAATTATTATAAAATTATATTTGGGCAGAAAGCTCCATTGGGGCTTGTCACAGATTATGTTGCTCTGTGTAGATTTTAAGATGGTTCCTATTTCATCTTTCACATGATCTAAACCATTAAAAATGGTATTTAGATAGCCTTTTGATGCATAAGGCACCATGTTTAGTTTCCTTTTTTGAGTATCTCTGTTTTGTAGTGACTTTAGAAAATATATTTATTCTTTTAAAGCAAAATAATATGACAGCAACAGAAAATATCTATTTTGCCTTTGTTTTTTCCTACGTAAATTACCAAAATTTGAATTTGCATATATGATTTAAAGATCTAATGGGTAATAAAGAATATAGAATAATTTCATTATTTTTCTTTGACAGAAAGGATAAAATGCATAGCCTCTGATGACTCTGCTTTATAGCATTTTGTGTGGCTGGTAACCTCTCCCAGACTAACACTTTATATTTGCCTGTAGCCAGAAGATTTGGATCCTTTCCAAGAGGCCCTTGAAGAAAGAAGGTATCCTGGTGAAGTTACAATCCCAAGTCCTAAACCCAAATACCCTCAATGCAAAGAGAGCAAAAAGGATTTAATAACGTAAGCATAATGTGAGGTGAAATTATTTTTCTCCTTTTAACCTTTACTCTCTTTGTCTTTTTTAAACCAAACGAATACATATACGCCTTGCAGTATGAGCATGCAACATTTGCAGCATATAAATGTTTCAAACTGCCAGTTAAGTAAAGTGATAAGCTAATGTGTACTTGCTTGTTCTTAATGATGCTATATTGTATTGAGACGCCATTTTCATTTAATCCTGTTCATTTTGCAGCTTTTCGATTAGGATGCTTAAAACCCCTTGCAGTCATTGCAGCTAAACTGGAAACAATGAAACATTTAAAAGCTTTTTTTTAAACATACTTACTATTTTGGCTGTTTTTGTTTTTGTTTGGTGGCAGATGTCCAACACCAGGGTGTGATGGGAGTGGTCATGTGACTGGTAATTACGCCTCACATAGAAGGTGTGACTTCATTTTTTTCATGGTGGATTCTGTCTTTTCAATTTATTGTTTTCAGCTTACCTCAACAATGCTGTCAAAGTAAAACGTTGAACTCTGTGTTAACCCTTTGAGTAATATATGTTGATCTTAAAAGCATGCTAATTTGTGTGTTGTATAAACGTCTTTTATTTTTAAATAGATTACTAAAATTTCCAAAGTATGCTTAAGCATTTAAGTAGTTAACCCAGGAATCACAAATATATTTTGTTACATTTTACTATGTAGAAAAACAAAAAAAGCATATTTACAGTATGTAATTTTGGAAGTAATGTTGATATCTAAATATATTCAGAGGGTTAACTGTATTACAAAATTCAATATTACAGCACTTGCCCCATCGCTTTTCTGCATTACAATCTTTTACTTTTTAATTTTTATGTTGTGTTTGTTTGAGAGAGTTCACTTAATAAGAAGATTAACTTACTTATATATCCTGCCATGTCTTACAGTTTATCTGGCTGTCCCTTGGCTGACAAAAGCATCCGAAGTATGCTGGCCACAAGCTCACAAGAACTCAAGTAAGATATAAAGAACAAATATTCTCTTTATGCATATTTATTTGACTGCAACCTGTGTATAGTTACATCAGAACATATATATATATATGCTATCTGGAGAGCTGCTATATGCTACCGAAAGGGCTGATCCATGTTTGGAGTGTATGCTAGGTCTACAAGGAGTTCTATACAGGCTGGACCTATAAATAAGTCTGTTGCTGTAGGGTTTTATTTTGTGCATTCCTTGTGTGATAGGAATGGAAAAAAATCAGAACTTTTGGAATTTCATCTAAGTGTTTGAGTTCCTGCTCATTTTTTTTCCCCAAATCTTTGAGTTTGCCAGCCAAAAAAAAAAAAAACCATGAGGTTAGACTGACAGAACACTTCTGATTACACAACTAGCAAAGTGATTGAGCTCCTCAGAACTAGAGTGGAGGGAAGAGGGAACAGTTTGTTTATCCCTAATGCATGTATAATTTTCCCCAGGTTTGTATCACTGTTATTAGCTTAATGCGTTTTCTCATTTGACTATATTTTTTAGTGTTTACTTAGTTATTCCCCTACTTAACATGCTTTCTTTACAATTACCTTTCAGTACTTTGGAGTGACAATTGTGAAAAATGAAAGAGAATTGTGAGAATTAGGTTTAACCTGTCTTCCCGCAACATGTGCTTGACTGAAATTCTAGATGTGGAAGAACTATAGTATTTGATAGTGCTATAAGATAGATTCCTGAGTTGGTAGAATGAATCCTTAGTTAACGGGGCTAGATGGTTAACAGGGTTAGAGGTTAACAGAGCGTTACAGGGTTTACAGAGGTAAAAAGGGAAATTTGGAGAGGGAAAATAGGAATGGATAGTTTATAGTTCATGCTAAACAGTATTCTGTCACTATCATACATGGGGGCCTTAAGAGCATTTCTTGAGTTCAGGACACACCTTGATGAAAGAGCAGACCCTAAAGCATGAGAAAGATAAGAAAAAAAGCATAAGAAAGCTGCTGAAGTTAGATTGTTGTCCAGTCTTCACTAGTCTACCCATAGCTATAGGCAGTAGGTAAGAAGCTCACACTGATTCTCCACCCAGTGAAAACAGTTTTTACGAACTATCAGTTCAGGTCCTGCTGGTATCTGCCATTAGCAGACTATGCGATGTGCAATGGGAAGGGGTGTAAATTGCTGAGGGGACAAATATATGTATAATCAGAGTGAGACATGGGCAAACAAGCCCAGAGAAATACAGAACTGTGTTTTGGGTGTTCCATTTGAAGAATGGAACTGTGTTTTGGGTTGTGATTGGTCAAGTAGCAGATGTTAGAGGAAATATGATTACATAGACTGAGCATAGCAAAGACTCAGGGCAGCATAAATAATACTTTAAATACATCCTTTGCTGCTCTAACCCTTTATAAAAGTTTCTACTTGTTGAAAGCATTCCTGAATTAGCCCTCTCCTCTGCCTCTCTTAAGTGTCTCCCACCACGCATACCTAGTTTGAGCTACAAGGAAAAAAAGATCACTTAAACTTGAGATCCCACTCCTTTCTCTTGCCATTCTCTTTACTCATTTCAAATTTTGCCCAAGCAAAGGGAACAAAATTAAGTCATATTTAAAATGATATTAGCACCTGCATATACTTATTAAGCACATAAACATGTTAAATTAACTCAAAAGTTAGGAGATAACAGAATTTTACACAGGTTAAATTTGTTTGTTTTTGTTTCTTCATCATCAAACAAGCCTTCATTTCCTGATCACATATTTCTCCATAGGATAAGAAAGTAATTTGGGTAGAGAATAACCATCCTATACAGTCTAATGAATGCTCTCTGTTTTCTTCAGCATGCCATGCGTGGCCCTGTCTCCTGTTCACTTTTCTCAAGCTATTCTTTCAGAATGTATCTACTAATTCATTCATATTTTTCACTACCATTGAAATTGAGTGTATCCTAATGAATTTATCTTGGTTATAAAAGAACTAACTTATTTCTACCCACAATTACACATTTAAGTGAGCCAGGATTGGTATTATCCACAATTTAAGGACAGAAAACCTTAGCAAATAGCTCTGCTCAATTTGAGACTTCTAGGACTCAATTTGACTGTGTTCTTGGCATTATAGAAAACCATGTATGCTCAACGCCAAATACCCATTAAATGCTCTCCGAGCTGTGAGAATTTGGCAGTTCTACACAATGAATGATCGACCATTTGTGAAAAGGGATGAACTCTATAGAAAAAGCAGAATAGAGTCCAGTGTTCCAGAACAGCAATGGGAGTCTCCTTTCTCCTTCCCAATGCTCTGTGTTCATTCCCAACTTTCACTTGTTCCATTTACTCTGTCCTGTCTCCTCTATCCTTTTTCTACATTGCTCTCTGTCTCAAGCTTCTTGTCAGATTGATCCATCTCTTGCCTTCATCACATTTTTTTTTGTTCTCTCCATCTTAGCCATCATGCAGAAGTTTGTACAGAAAGAGAAAGAAAAAACATCTTCTCATTTATCGTATGTATTTCAAGGCAGAGATGTAGGAGTCCTGTGGATGACAGCATTCTCTATACAGTACTCATTTATGCTCTTGTTCTCTGCACAAGATAGGAGAAAGATGTGATCATGTAAATGATAATGCATATGCACAAAGCAGCTAAATCAAAGCTGCATAAGCAACTTTGATTTTGGAATTTTTAAACAACTAAGTGCTTCATTGACATCAGTTCCTTTCTTTTTCTGTGAGGTTTTACAGTATAATTTCCTTGCTTTTAAAAAGATCAAACTGTAAAGAAGGCAAAAGTCCATGGTGTGGGATCCTACTGGCTTTTTTTCAGGCAACCAGCACCACAGGACCCTATGATATCTATTACCTATGTCACCTGAACTACTCTAGTAGCAAACAGCAATAACAGTCACAATGTTCTACATGGGCTGGTACCAGAAGAAGGTGAGGTACTTTGCTAGTGTAGTTTATATGTATGTGCTTACAGCAGAGGTATAAGCATGAGGATTCCTGGCTTCTGCCCCAGGCTCTAGAGAGAGATGTAAATACATTCTTCACCTATATCCCAAACCAAGATCCCTTCTGTCTTGTCTCTTCCAATCTGTGCCATCCCCACCTCTTCTTCATCTTTTATTCCTTGTTCCAGTCTTCACATAGTTCTTTCCAGTCATCCGCAAAGACTTCAGCCTCGGTAAAATTTCTGGCAAATATTTTTCTAATGCATGGGGTATAGAGAACAACTGGCAGTGCAGTATGCTACAGGGATTATATTTCTGGACTATATAGTTTGGGAAGATTTCATAATATTACAGTTTTGCCATGCATTGCTCATGTAGCAAATATTATGTACTGACAAAGCCTTTGTCTACTCTTTTATCTACATTCTACTTTTCCATAATCTCCATGTTTGTATTGTACAGCATAGATTAAGTATAATGCAGCTTCCTAACTAGAATTTTGCTAACACACTGATTACAGCATAGATTAAGTATAATGCAGCTTCTTTTGCTAACACACTGATTGTTTTTTAAGCCCTAACGAAAATCAAAAATAGCAGACATCAAAGATTTCAAATGATGTTGATGCTCTATTGATAGTATAAAAGAAATATGATAATCTGAAAAGTTTAGAGAAAGTTTTACTTAGCTTTACAATGTTACAATGATGCATTTTGGTAAATATGGTTCTGTAACCTCCATTGCCCATGTTCCCTAGATCAGACTTATGTTCCAAGACATTAAGTTGTCGCAGAGTAGGCCAACTATTCTTTGCCATCCATGCTTCTCTTCTTTAAGGCTTCTTGCTGAGGGGTACTTGGCAGATTGTGTGATTCTCAACTTTTATCCAAAGCACAAATGAAAACATGAGAGACTTTGTGTGTAGCTTTTAGGCAGGACAAAGCAGTTACACAGCCTGATCAATGATCTCCAAATAACAAGATCATTTCAAAACTAATTCCCAGTTTATGATGCCGACACAAAGGATGTCAACAGTGTTAAGAGTCTCTGAAGAAATTAATATTTGGTAAGAAGCCAAAACTTTCCAGTACTAAGAATTGGGTTATAGTGTATCTGAAAGGCAACTAGCTTTTTTAAAGACCTAGGGATATTAGACTGATGAGAATTACGAGAAAGCAATTAATAGCCCATCCAGTAATAGTTACTGATATTAAAATATTCAGTAGTTAAATGCAATTTATTTTGTGAAACACTATAAAATATCAACATTTTGAATTACTTTTAACTAATTTTAAAGTAAAATTAATTATTGTTTTAAAGTATATATTTTGATTCTCAGCAAATCAGCTCTAGTCAAAGTGCTGCACACTGACTGATGAATTTTCTACTCAGTGTATTGCCACCTAGATAACAGAGTTCAAACAAATGATGAGCTTACTTAATTCTGATGTTACTCTGAAGTGAAAATAATCATACTTTTTTGAAGTCCATATGTTCTATAACTAAGCATTAGCTTGCCTTACTGTGAAACTTTTTCCTTTGGGTCAGTTTTCTTGAGGAAATCACATGGCTTATATTAAAGAGTCTGAATCTCTTAAAGATTTGCAGTTCAACAAAGTAAAAAAATCTGAATGCTGGTCTGATACTGTTGTACTATTGACAGGCCTGCCATCCCAAAGCACCTATATCTCTAAGCAGATTTTGGATGCCATTATTTTTCTGGTGAACATCTTTTGTCATGGCCCTGTGGTGTTTTCAGGGAAGAGAAGAGTTTCATATTTCTCTGTGCAGTGAAGCCCGAGAATTTTTATTTTGCCTATCTCTTACTAAGTGAAAGTGAGAACTTCAGTCTGTTTTTTTTCCCCCCCACAATAAAGGAAGATTTGGAATTTCTGTGCCTCCTTCTCCTTTTCAAATCATTCTTTATCCTAAATTCCATATTCTTGTGGTCCTCTTCTACTGTTTCTCATATTTTCCCTTTATCCTTGTCGGCCCATTCCCAGATGTGTCATCCTAGCAGTCTCTTCTGGTGGGTCCAGACAGAAACGTGAGCTTCCCTGAAGCTCTCCTGAT